TTTCCGGCGGATTTGGCCGCCGGAAAAAGTGGGTTTTTTGGTAGTGTGTGCTCATATTCAATCACACTTTTCAACGAACTTGAGTTTAAAATCTCCATTAATATTATTTATGTGATGACTCTGTGTCTGTATGTCATTAACCACAATGTAGCACACTATTTTTTGCTCCATTTTTTCCATTCTTACCAGTATCTCCTTCCTTTGCTGCATTCTTATCATTATCTAGCTTCCTCTTCGATTTTTTTCCGCCTGCAAAGAAGAAGAAAATTGAATATTAGACCAAAGGGTAAACTAAATCATAAGATGAAATAAATACAATGATAAAACACTCTTTAGAAAAGCACAATCATGGTTGCCTGATAATGCACACACACTGCCATGAGTACTGACTGGAAGTTGCAAGGCATATTATTTAGTCATCTACAAAATGTGCTCATATTCAATCACACTTTTCAATGAACTTGAGTTCAAAATCTCCATTCATATTATTTTTGTGATGACTCTATGTCAGAAATTGTCATTAACCATAATGTAGCACAACATTGAAAATCCACAATGAACCAGAGAGAGAGACATGCTACATGGTTGTCTACTCACAATATAGCACACCACATGGTTACTATTGTCAAATAACAATGGACTCCCCATGCTCTTCCTTGAATATAATGTTAGATTCTTATGGGACTCAAATAACAATGGTTACTATTGTCAAGACCTTTAACAACTTCAAGAACTCGAGACCAATTAGTCGAGAAATGATAAAGGATAGCTCCAAACAGCCCTTGTATTTGTAGATAAGAATTTCCAGTCATATAGTAATAGCATTGACAAAAAAACAGAATACAACACCTAGGAAATGTACATGTATCACTTTTCAGTCAATTTGTTGTTTAAAATGTCAATCATTTTATTAACATCATGTCTGAATGAACATGCACACTTGCTTCAGACAAGCTTAATATTATATATCACCAAACCAAACGAACTTTAAGTGTATATATCACCAAACCAAACCAATAGGATCGACGGTTTTCTGACTTGTTTGACTCAGTCAACAGATACCCATTACACCTTTAAGTGTATTCCCACTAACTTCTACAACGGATCTAAATCAGCTTATACTGGTGACCGTATGTTTGGCCCATGACCATGCTCACCTTACATCTGTATGGTTATCTTTAAATCGCTGTTAACTTAACATCACATATAGATCACTACAGTAGTAATCAATACCCCCTTTAGTTTAGATATTAAACATAAGATTTAATTAGTACCCCATTATTCATGGAGGATCTTGATCTCTGCAGAATATATGACACTTGGAATGTAAGGTCTGGGAGGAGTAGGTTGTAAGCAGACTTAACCTCAACCACTAGGATCGATTGACTGTTTCAATCAAGATCCCTGACTTGTATATATACGTGTATATATTTCCACACTCAAACATACACTCCCTCCCCAATCCTTGCCCCCTCTTTCTGTCCTTTACAAAAATAAATTAACATGGGGTGGGATTAACAGGCCCTCAAACCATTTTTTGTTAATGTTGATGAAAAGGCAAAGCAATACATACAGCAGGGGCAGGCTAAATGCCTTAACAATACCAAAACAAGGACTGATTTGAACAAGTTGCCAAATGCCAATTCTTCAAAACAACATTGTACTAAAGCAAAATTGCAATCATTGAAATCAGAACAAGAAATTAAGCAACTGAACACAATTTAGCACACCATGCAGAGTCCAGACAAATATTATGACCAATACTAAATGTTATCACAATGTAGCACACCATTTTCCATTAGATTATGATCATTAGAAATGTTATAATCACAAAGGTAGCACAAATTAAAAACAGGTCCTATCATTGAAATCCATATGAATTATAAAGCTGCTGCAGAATATTATATGACACATGAATTAACTATAAGAAATGTCCTCTTTAACCAATACATCCTTCCCCTAATGATACCAAAGAAACAAATGACTTGAAAATGATATTGCATAAGTAGAAAAAGGAACTGATTTACAAAATTGCAATCATTGAAATCACAATAAGAAATTAAGAAAAAAAGTTCATATTTATCAAGAGTAAAAGAGCACATCTTCAAAATAACATAGGAGTCCCCCGTAGAAATTGCCAATACTAAATGTTATCACAATGTAACACACCATTTTCCAAAATATTATGATCATTAAACAATGTAATCACAATGTATCACAGATTGATTATCAAAATGTGGTAAATTCTTTTCCAAAAAAATTAATATTCATCATTCCACATTGTTTAAAACAAACCAACAACAACAATAAAACCTCAAACTGATGTTTACTAACCTAAAACCGTGATAGGGAGTGTAATAAGAGGTTACCTTTTACTTCGATAGAAATAATATCAACATCGTCTTGAACATCATCGTCTAGGTCTATGGGTTGGCTTTCTTTGTTTGAGAACTTGAACATCGATTTGGCATTCATCCTACGGCTTCTTCTTCCTGTACCATTCCACATTACAGAAACAAAGGTTACGGGATTCTTCATGATGAAAATGTAGAACATAAATAGATTTTACCTAATCCTTCATTAGCATCCATCGATTATGTATAGATTTCCACTTGCGATCGAGTCTAGGGTTTATGGCAATCCGCTCATTCTCGAAAATCAGAGAGTATCTTGACTCTATTTGGATTCGAATTGAGCAGTTAAATGAAGAATATTAACGGATTTGTAGCGCGCGCTCAAATCCGGCTTAATAATCAAATTAAAAAAAAACCATTTTACCCTTGTTCCTATTATGTCATTAAATGTCATTAACTTATTTTTGGAATTACATTAATTAAGATTCCTTTCAATTTTAACCATTGATTATTAGAATGTTTGGTTGAGATTGGATCTCACGGTTATCACAAACAACTCAGTTTTCATTTGATTAAACCCCTATATATATATATATATATATATATATAAAAGGGGATGGTTTCATTAAATCGTGATTTAATAATAGGATGAGAAGATGTCATCATTGGGTTTAAATAATGCTATGATGCTTTAATCTAGAATGGTAACTTTATGTAGTTACACGATGGTTAATTCGGGTTGTTTTCATCTTATGCGGATTGTGATTTGAATCATGCAAGGAGGTTTATTTAGAGGAGTTGCTTATATAAATATTTGTATAAGGTTATATGTTTTTAATTAGTAAAAAGTTTGTAGTGGCTTTTCTCAGTTGTAGCGTTTTGTAAGACGAGAGCTTATATGTAAACCTAATATGGTTCGCTATATGTAAATTATGTATTAGATTGTGGGTTGTTACAATCATAAAATAATTGTCATAATATAAAATAAAAGTTAATTTAGTTATTGGATATAAAAATTAATTACAACAACCCGGAAGAGTGGAATTAGTTTGTTCAAAATTCTTTAAAATGGGGAAAATATGGTTATATCCGATGAATTTGGAGAACGTCTTAAAAGTTATTGTTTATGGTTTCATCGATAACGGTTTTTGAAATTAAAGGTTTAAAAGAGATACATATGAATGTAATTTAAAAAAAAAAGAGAATTTGTAGAAGATATTCGTTATAAACAACAACAGTATGAAAGAAAATCATTTTAATAACAACTTATTAATTATGTTGCATATCCATAAAAAAAATTATTATGAATATTTGAACTTTAAAAATATTTATTGCTGTCATATAAATTTGTATATGTTATTACAATCTTTAATGCATATTTTGCAACACGATGACGATACAAGACAATATCATTTTATTTGAATTTAAAAGAAAAATAAACCAACCAAATAAAATAGAAGATATATACACATTAGAAGAATATCATTTATGTTTAGATAAAGATATGCATAATCTCCTGATCACATTAATCACTTTATTTTATCTACTAACAAATGCTATACGAATATAAAAAACAAATTCTAGCTAAGGTGGACGCTACGACATGYTCTTTTGCACATTAAATGATGTCTTTAGATGGTTGCTCATGGGTTACTGTGTCCATTGAAATAAAGCTTGCAGGAGTGCAAACTATAGGAGGAGACACGACCCCTATAGTTTGCACTTGTGTATTATGGCAATTTGATACAACTCTTTGCGCCGGATTGGCAGCTCCTATGTTGATCTGCTCGAGTGTGATGCCTGCACAACTATTAGGACTTTTGCTACACAAAATGTTGATTGCATYAGGTTTCGAAGAAGTCCCATGGATGTCKTTGAAGGTAACATCGCTTACATGAACCACGGGCGCCTGTTCATAAAAAGGAAGAAAAACAAATTACAAGAATTCCATTGATACACACCTTTATGATAATGATGATGTGATGATAATAATAATAATCATAGTAGTATAAAGATAATAATAAAACGTAAGAYATACAATGTCATTGCATTGTTTATGCGGGCAGTAAAATTGAGTGAGTATGATGGGGTTTTCAACGGCCACCATTGTTATGTTACTAAATGTGATATCGTCCGCCAAACCCGACCCTCCCTGAAAKACATTGAAAAATTAGAGTACTTGGATTAGATAACGATGAAGACATATATAAATGGTAAAAGCAAAAATGTATTTAATTACATTTTGAACTAAACGGAGAATATAAGTACCAAAATACATACCGGTACGGTTTTGACTCGAGCTCCATTTTGAGTGGCGGTGAACGTGGTGTTGATAACTGTAACATTACGTACAATATCTGTTTTGCCATTTCTTCCAAGGCTTCCAACACTAGAAGAAAACCATAAATCGAATTGACTAACGGTATGGTATTATCTAAATAACTGGTTGTTTAATGATATGATAAAATTAACAAACCTTACGCCGTGACCCGGGCCACAAAAGAGACCATCAATGTGGATGTTGGAGCTACCACCATTGATGGCAATGCAATCGTCACCTTAAAATAGATATATAAAGAAAATCCAAACATTATTAATTAGAAATAATGAATTACGTTAATTAAAAAAGGTACTCTAATTAGTACAATGTTATATATATATATATATATATACACACACCTGTTTGGATGGTTCCACCATTGACATGAACACCATTTGTAGCTGAAATGTCGATGCCATCGGTGTTCGGACTCTCCTTAGGTGCGATTAGGGTGACGTTGTCGACTATGGCTCCATCACAAGCATTTATCGATATATGGTTTTTTGGGCTATTTTTGGAGGTTACTTTTATTAGCTTAACCCCATTACAATGGTGAAATCCTAAAGCCTGTATACATTTATCATTTATTAATTAATTAATGAACCAAATTTTATTTAATGAAGTTGAAGAAATTAATGACTTACCGTGGGATTTGTTTCACAATTATTAGTCTGAAATGAAATAAACAATGATTGATGGTTAGAAAATACATTCGAATTGTCCAGGCCCAGTTATGATTGATGTATAGATTAAATGAATAACCAATCACCTTCTCACAATCCCACCAGCCTGAATCACCTTGACCTTCGAATTGTCCAGGCCCAGTTATAATAAGGTTTTCGACATGTTCAAAATTAAGCCAAGTATCAGCCTCAGGGTTCCAGTCTTTCCTAGGTATTGCCTTAACAGTCCCTACGACCTACAAACACATAAATGTATCCCATGAAACTAAATAATGTACAACAACAATATCTAATATCTTAATTCATTTATTCTTCTCATAATAATGTATCTAATTTACATRTGTGTGTGTGTGTTTTTTTTTTAAACTTACATTGACGACCATAGTTTTAGGTTTGCATGGACCTCGAAAGGTCGTTGGTCCAACAAGAAAGTTTCCGCTAGGTARCATCAAATTTCCAGTCGAACTGCATGCTACATTCCATGCATCTTGCAACGCCTAGAAAAGGTGGAAAATTAGAAAACATAAAATGAAAGCATAGGTTTTATATTGAAGCACGAGTTTTGAATATGCATGGTCACCAATTTATCGTCGGTGATGCCATCTCCAATAGCTCCAAAAGTAGTTACATCAGTTATAGGTTGAGACTGTGAGATACTGATGATCGTCAGAATGCAAGAAATCACAAGCTTTATGCAATTGGCCTGCATTAATAAAATAAATTAGCTTTTTGAATTAATCAAACAAAATTAAGAGATGGCAAATAGAAGCTTAATTACCATGAGTATGAACAAAATGATAATGTTGATGGGTTTTTCTTACGAATTGCATGGTTTTAAGGTATATATTTATAGGGAATAAAAAACGARTTTATTTTTGTAAAGTATTTATTAAAACTTTATCCGAAATTATGAGTTTCATGAGATTTAGTTTCCTTTATATTTTTATGGAAACGATTGTTTTTGTTTTAAAACAATTAATTTTTGAGTTTAAAAAAGATGACATTTCCAATCATTTTCTCTATACATTATCTAATTTTGGATAAATAAAATCTATTTGATTTTAAGATGTACTCCCAATGTTTTTATTTTTTATTTATTTATTTATTATTAATTACGTAATAAGTTTGAATGGGACAAATTTGTATGGCTTTCTATTTAATCATAATCTTATTAATTTTTAGTGTTAATATATTTGTTCCTTTGCTTAATATACCTTCTCCATCATTCTCCAAAAAATTACAACCATCTTACAAGGTTAGGTTCATACAAAATATTACCGACGAAATTTTTGCTAACGAATTTCACTATCTCGTCGGCGAAAATACACTTTTGCCGATGAATTTAATATAATGTGYAACTAAATGTTACATTAACGGGTTGTCTTTCCAAACCCGACGGTAAAAGTATTTTTGATATTCTAATAGGTTTTAGCAGCGAACTTCACTAGGTCATTGGTAATAGTAAATTGAATCAGTACTAAATTTTTTCATATACATTTTTGTCAGCATACTTCCTAAATCCCACAACAAATGTATTTTAATTTCATTAGCAATCTTTTACTTAGATTTTTGTCAACGGACGACATTTTAAACCCCTTGATAAAACCCTAAAAAATCTTCGCATTGGGAAGGTGGAGCGGATGTACATGGACCAACGACCTTCTTTGTAAGTCCACCCCTACGACTCAAGAATTACTCCATGTTTGTTGACTAAAATGAGACACAAGCTCCAAGCAATATGGCAGATTACAACCTAGTTGGATCCCTTATGACGCATTACGACCTAGTGCAAACCCATTCCTACCCATTACAATTAACAAAACCCAATACGACCTATTACATACCGATAAGACCAAATATTGCCTGTTATAACTAAATACAACTCATTACAACTCTATCTCAACATAACCCAATACGATACAATACCCATTACAACCCTTCAAAACCTTATACGATCCATTACAACAATCAACACCCAATACGACTCATTACAATCAACATAGCTCAATACAACCCATTACAAAACTAATAAGATCAAATATGTCCAAATACGACCCATTGTAACCCATTACAACACAATAACACCATCAAAACCAAATATGCCTTTACAACTTGACATAACCCAAGCACAGGACAATACGACCCATTACAACAACCACCCTCCCCCAATACGACCCCTTACAACTCAATATAACTCGTTACCACCCAATATGATTCGTTATAACCCAATAAAACCTATTTCGACCTGACAATATCCAAATACAACCCATGACCACCAAATACGACCCAATATAGCCCAATAAAATTCAATACAACCCAATAYGATCATTACTACCCCACAAAATCCAATATTTTCCATTACAACTCATTATTTTACAACCAATATGACCAACATGGTCCAATACAATCCATTTACACCCTATACAACGTATTACCAACCGATATGACCATTACATTCCAGCAATTTAATACGACCCATCGTAACCATCATAACCCAACACATCCACT